GTGACCTTGAACACATAAATTTTCTCCCTGGGTTCTAAGAGGCAACAGATGGGGCTATTCTTCTAGACACTTTGCTAAATGACAACACACAGTATTGCAGAGGCAGAAAGAAGAAGCAACAGGTTGCTTAATTACTACCCTTCCCAGCTGCAGATAATGCTTACCATCCCTTTGATCCACCAAAAAACGAATCAGAATTTCCCCTTTCACATCAGAGCCCGATCACATGAGTCATTCCCCCTCACCCTAGAAGACCCTCTTTCACATCAGAGTCCCTCTTTTTCATATAAGTCCTCAGCACCCCCTTCACATGAGGAGCCACAGCTAGGGCAGCATGACAGAAAGCGGGAGGCAGAGCAGATCCAGGCAGTGGCGAATTTCCATCCTTTTCTGAATGTATCCCACCCTCCCTGGATTAGCGTCAGTTATTTCCATGGTGCTGGTGACTGACCCACCTGCACCATGGAAAGGCATGACGCTGTCTTTATATTTTGAGGCACCCCTCACGACGCCAGAAGGCACCATGGTTGAGAAACTGTCAAATGCAGTGGTAGGGGAGCATAAGGAGGGTAAGAATAAGCAGCTAGGGAGGGAGGCAATTAAGGTGAACCTGGGCTTTGTCCTGCGTGGACAAAGCACAAGCTACCATTAAGCAGATTACATATTGTTGACAAAACCTACCAAATTTCTCTATATGATAACTTTTTCTTTGACTATAAACATTATCTGGCTGTAGGCTTCCTCGTCTATTGGTAGTAAAAAAGCAGTCACCCGGGAGAGGAAGGGAAGCCGAGAAAGGAGTGAAGGAGAGAGTTGAAAAGGTGAGCTAGCTTGTTTGAAGTAACGTGCGAATGCAATAAAAGAGAATTGAAGATTAAGATGGATTCCTGAGCAAGGTTTCTTAGTTTTCGTCCCCAGCTGTTACCAGGTCTGAATTAGGAAGGAGACCGATATCTCTTCAAGTACAAAATTAATATTATTCCTTGTCTTTTACAAACTAAGAGTGAGGTTTTTCCTTTTTTTTTTATAATGTAGCTTGCTGAAAAATTATTTCTTTGAGTGTTTCTTTCGCCAGCTTAACTACCCTGCAGACTCTGTAGGAATTTAGGCTGTGATTCAATCCATGCTAATTAAATGTAATACAAGACCGTTGTAGAAAAAAATATAAAAAGGAATGTCACTTCTAGGGCAGCAGAGTGAATTTGGATTTTATTGCTCTGCATATTTTAGCTGGCTGTGATTGGAGGAAAAGCTGGGCAGTATATTTGTCTAGAAGGGTTTGTTATTCCTGCATTCCTTCCTTCCTGTGGTTTACTAGCCCCTGTCCATGGTTAACCAAGCTCTAAAATATCACATACCCCTTAGGGACAACTTAAGGGTTAGTGCTATAGAAACACCTGCTTTCCAGGACAACATGTGAACAATGCTAAACATACCAAGTCTTACTTACTTGTGCAAGAAACATGACCCAATGATCATGGGGGATTTAATCCAGAAACATACTTAAACACAGTGCAGCATTCAATACAACTACATTTCCTTAATTATGCAATCTACTAATGACTATGTCTACTCTATGGGGGTGCAGCAGCTCTCACATTGCCCATGTGTGTATTATTCCACAAATGTTTTATTGGGTTTTCAAAAGGATTAGGTATTAAACAAATGGTCACTTCAATAAAGGTATGACAAAGGACACATCAGGGTAACAGATAAAGAAAACAGAAAAAAAGAACAAATGCGGTAATCTGCCACAAATGTATGGCAACTATAAAAAGTAAGCGGTATAACCTGGATAAATATAAGGAATTAGCATCCCCCAGGGAGCAGTTGCTGAATAATGTGAACTCAAAGAGGAGGAGTGCTAAGGTAAGTAAACTAGGGGTCATGATGGTGAAAGGAAAAAGGTGGACAGGGAAGGCACAGGGGTAGAAAAGAGAAGATCAAAGAGACAAGATAGGAGAACTTGAAGGTGTCTTGGTTTCAGATGGACAAAAGAGAGGTTTGGAAATCGCTTGGTTTAGAATAAGTAATCTAAGGTTGCCAAATCACCAGAAAGCAGTTGTGTATGTCAATTAGTATAGCAGTACACATTTCATTGACAAAAGTACTGTTGATTCGGTTCTTGACCTACTCAAAACTTAAGAAAGGGGTTTTCCAGGACTTGGCTATAATCATTTTAGTAGCAATGAAGATATGGTTATATGATATAAAGATATGCTATATATGACTAGTTTTTTTCCAACCAGGATAGGGCTGGGATTAGTTTAAGAAAGAGCGCATCACATGGTTTCCTGCATAAGTGCCCATGTATGTATTCTTTAACAAATATGAATGATTGCATTATTTGTACAAACTATGGCTTATATACTGCTTTCATAGAGACACTTACTTAGCCATCATCATTAATATGCCTTCTGGAGAATTTTCAATGCTATGAATTGACTAGGTTACTGAAACCCCTTTGGTGAATGCCCATTGGAATACCTTCTAAAACAAAGGTCACATCCTACTTCATAACGCGGTTCATTTGTCACAGCTATTGTTTTTTTGCTTTCTCAACGTGATCCTAATACAGGATCATCTTAAACCTCTTCTTTTCTCTATATAATATTCTATTCCACCTTAATATAATGACATATCAGATGCGCCAGTATCATTTCTAAGGTTTCCCTGCATAAATTAAATGTTTAGAAAAGGATGAGAACATGTTTCTTATGTTCTCTTCGCGTATGAAGTCCCAAGAGACTTCAGAGACCTGAGCCCAGTGTCCCAGCCTAACCCCTGACCACGAGGGAAGGAGAAAGTTCACTGACATCACACAACCAACAGATCAGGACATCTACTGGAACTGGGCTGTCAGCAGTCTCCTAATCCTAAAATGCATCAGCAGCACACTGTGATTGGAATCAAGCTCATTATACCAAAAACATAACGTTAACATTAGAGTCTCATTTTGTCATGAAAGGTCTGCCCTAAGTCTGGCTTAACGTCTATGCTTTGCAGGGTAATTTGCAGAAGCTATGCTATTTATTTTGAGTGGTGCCCCAACATACCTTAACAGAGCTCTTTAAAGCACATGTGCTGTGGTACAGTGCAATACAAAATGTGCACCGTGGCGCACTGACAGCCTATTAAAAATGCATACTAATGTGTGAAATATCTTAATATTAGAACACTGCACAATGCTCCAGGAGGGCCCAAAACAAGAAATTAATGTTAAATAAAAAAATCAGAAATAAAAGTATGTCAAATGTCAAGTCTGTTAACCCCCCCCTTAAAAAAGGAGCAAACCATTGTTGTATAAAAGTACATTGTTCACACAATACAATTAGAAGGATAATGCCCTATTTACTTGTAAAGCAACCCTTTCAATTGTCATCCAGAGATAGTGGTGAGAGATGCAGATGAAATCTGGGCTGGTAGATACATGGGGGCTGCCATAGCTGACTTTTTTGTAAAAATTCTAGTGGCCTGGCTGCTTCTTTTTCCAGCGAAGTGACTTCAAAAGTATTGACGCCATCATACCACATCACAGCCAGGCACCTAGCATTTTGAAAAATTGAAATTTAATTTACCAATGGAAACCTCCATATTATCTTGCTATAAGTTTTCTTGAAGGTTTAGGTGGCTTTTGATAAAGTCAAAATGTGCATATGAGTAACAGCAATGATTGGGCTACATGTTTTAGGGGAAGGGTGAGTGTAGCTGAAACAGCTGATGGTACAGATAATGAAGGTACCACTATGATAATACGATTGGGCACCTGAAAGGTTGCCATTTCTAGAATAGACACATAAAGAACAATTCCTTTCCACACAAATTCTTCAACGCTTATCAAATGACACCCATCATGAAACATTACATAAAAAGCATATACCAACACACTGCTCAGACCTGACATACTAAAAGGCAAAGTAAGGTATGAGGTTGGATCTAGAATACCAAAACTATGCAGCTACTGCATCCACATAGACCTTGATCTTGGGGAGCTACAACTCTAATAAATACTAACACGGTATTGGCTTAAAGAACATGCTTAGTCTTGTAGTTCCTCCACAGCTGGGTGATGGTTGTTCACCTATTTCAGACCTGTGCACTAACCAATGCAGGCAAAACATAGCCCTGGTTGTCAGCACACCTGTCAGAAAGAAAACGGTATGCTGCTAAGAAAAAATCTTTCCCCGCACACAGCATTGTGACTTCAGCTTTTTTAAGCATACTGCAGTGTGACTGTTGGGTACATTGCATAAATTGTACTATAAAACCAAAAAGCATTTAGGCTTTAATGTGGATTCAAAAATGGACATGCTTCAAATTCCACAACATATAGATGCAAAAGTCATACAACAAAAACAATGCATTAAAGGGCTCCTGCATGTAGGAACGTTTAGTAGTGCTCGAGTCATCGAAGGCTTGTGATGGAAAAAGCATCCGTTTCAGGTTAAGAATTTATTTCTATTTGACAATTCTACATCAAGAATTATAATTGAAGTATGGAATGTTAGAACCTTCGTCATGTGTTTAGCTGTCTGCATTCCTACATAGAATAATCTAAAAAAGTTCTCCCCAGAAGAGATATAGAGGGGGACCACTCAATGGGACAACCAGCTGGCATTTCCCCTCACTTTAGGCAAATGTCCTCTTCCCTTCCTGTAGAATAGGAAGTGAGAGAAAATATCCTCGAGGACACAGATAAAAAAAAAAGTGTGCTCTAAGCCACCCCGGGTCAATATAAAACTAGAAACACAGTTCACATTGATGTCTGTAACGTAAACACAGAATATGCTTCAAAATCAAGTGCCTGACATGAAAAAAGAAATCTGTTCTTGTTTCCAGCAGTGACAGTATGGACATCAAACATACTGCCTAATGTCATTGAAGAGAGAGAGAGAGAGAGAGAGAGAGAGTGTAAGCAAGAGAGGCAGAGTGTAAAAGAAAGGAGAACAATATATATAATGGGTGCAAGGGAGTTCAGGGGCAGATATATCTGTGTTTACCTGGAAAGCAGGTTGTTAGGTGCTCCATTAGTGCTTCTTGCGTAACAGGTTTTCTTGCAGAGTTCATAGCCGAGATGGCCAAGCAAAGGATCTCCCCGAGAGGGATAAACTGTGACTGGCTGATTGGAGACATACTAATGGGGGATACATCACCTACAAAGAAAGAAGCATATTTGTCATATCAAAATGTGTCTAAAATGCATAAAAAGGTTAGAAAATATAAATGTATAGCAAAAAAATGAATAGCGTACATACTTTCTGACATTGCAGGCAGGTACTGCACTAACACATTCCCCACTACAAGTGGCAAAGCCACTGCCCCCTGCTGAACACTCATTCGCTTTCCACTGCAGCGTACAGCAGCACGGCTAGACAGGGAAGTGTGTGATGTGGGCTGTTCCTGGAGGAGAGGATTACAATCATTTACAGGCACTAGGGGTGGGGAATAAGGAATTAGTGTAATGTGCTTTGTAATTACAATCTCAATATTCCACTGCTTGCAAAGTATCCGTGTAGAGGATGGAGGTTATTTCAAGTTGATATAGTGAACACTGGAAACACATTGCTAATACATTTTATGAAGACAAAACGCACCTGATGGCCAATTTAGTATTACAAAAAAAAAAAAAATATACGAGTGATATCTGGAAGCTGCTATTTCCCTCTTGTTTGGAAGGTGCAAGCTTTGGTGTGGTCGTCCTTGGCAAATCATGGATCACGGTCCTGGACCATGCACATGCATATTAAGAACATCCGATATATAAATGCTTGTTCAGGTTTGCGACTCACTAAATGGTGAAGGATCAGTCTGACCTGACCTGAAGCCCGCCTCTTCAAAAACGAGGCAGTATGGGCAGCTCCCATTTTTGTGTCCTGATAGAGTACCTTCAGATTTAACCTGTCACACATGTTGGCTATGTGGAGAAGATGAAAAATAAATAGGATCGGTTAGCACTAGTGAAAACAAAATTTCACAATGATCAACAGATGCGCAGATATTGGCTGCTGAGGCTCCATTCACATATAGCGTTTCCAGCACGGCACGAAAATGCTAAAATCTTTACATCTGCATAGATTCCGCTATGCATAATTACTGGTTTTGTTCCTGCCCACCTTGGAGTCACACTCCTCCTGAGGCAAGATGGGTGCTCCAACTCATCCTGTTGCATTTCCACAGTTTGGGGATTTAGCACTCCAGCATCACAAAAAATGTGAGTTTTGAGTGAAAATTACCCCTAGATATGTATATGGATTTTAATATATCCATTGGTAACAAGTGATTTTGCATTTATAACTGATTACCTTAGCCTATTCCTTCTCTGAGCACTAAAAGCTGCCATCGCAGGCCCAGGCCCGCATGTACACCGCTTTGTTTTCATTCAGCCTGACTAGGTCTGCAGTGTAACTGCAGATGCGGAGTGAAACCATGGAAGACCACATACCTGTTGGTTTCAATGTCTTCTGTGCATCAAAGAGTTATGATGTGGCACACTCATATGATGCCTGGAGAAACAGAGAGCATGGAGCATGGAACCGGATTTCTGGCCAATCAGGAAGCAGGGGGTCAGGTAATGACTCGCTACCCGCCTTCCTGATTGGCCAGCGAGTCATTACACACTTCCCGGCTTACTGATTGGTCAGGAAGCTGGCTCCATGCTCCCTCATCACCAAGTGGAGGTGGCTTCTCAGCCAATCAGGAAGCTGTGGCCAGTCAATACCCGCCCCCCAGCTTCCTGATTTCCCAAGAAGCCAGCTCCATGCTCCCTGGTGATGAGGGAGCATGGAGCTGGCTTCCTGGCCAATCAGGAAACCGGGTTGCGTGTAATTACTCACCGCCCCGCTTCCTGATACCGGAAGTTCCGGTAGTGGGCTAGGCATCGGGAGCATTAGGGTGAGTACAAGTACTCACCCAAATACTCGGTATTGGCACCGATACTAGGATCGGTACAACCCTAATTGTAGCTAAACTCATACAGGGACTACCTGCTTCTAGCAGTTTGTAATCTCCAGTGATTACTTCAGTGCAGCAGAGAAATCACTATTCATGACACCAGGCCTTGAAGGAATCACAATCAATTCAAAAAGCTACACGAGTTACATACGGTTATTACATTATTTCATGATAGTTTTCACATCACAAAAATAAATATCACCCCACTGTGGAATTTATATATTTTGTCCACATGAAATGAAAATAAAACCACTGAAAGCCTCTATCTTTCATGAATGGGAATTTTATCTCACGAGTCATTATTTTATCACCACCTCAAGCAGCTTCTTTTCCCACTCTACTCAGCAGACACCTCATAGAGACTCATTGTTCAAGTCAGCCATAAGCTATCAATGTTTTAGGAGAATAAACCTGCAAAATAATCTTTGTGAATGACTTTTACATTCAAATACTACACGAATCATAAACAGGAATGATGTAAACTCTGCAGATCCCAGCAATAAAGTAAATAAAAAAAGAAAAGAAGAATGAATCAATAAATTGGCATATAAAGAAAATATGTATTAGAGACACTGTCATCTCTTTAGAGAGTTTAAAAAACAGCATTAAGAAATACATTTACAATATTAATTCTCAGCACCTCCATAGAGCCAAATCTTCGCATTCCTGTACTTACAGGCACCGCTAGTATCTTCAGCACTCCAGGTGCATCAATGACTGCATCTACCCGCTGTGGATCCCCCCACTGGACACCAAGTCACTAGTGTGTCTCTAAAGCTCTGAAGGGAGACATTAGTGGCATAATAGCTGTGAAGAACCACTGCAGGCAGCAGGGAGACATATGCATCCAACACATTCATAAGTGTTGCATGCTAAAGATTCTAGCAGCACCAATGTCTCTGCAAGACACTGAACGTTTGATTCAAAAGAACTAAGAAGCAATAATGATAAGTATCCTTCTTTGATTAAACTTTCTTACTTATATGACAGTGTTACTGTGAATTGACCTTACTGGAAACAGGGTCGGTGCTGCCACTAGGCAAACTATGGGAGGACTGTGGACACCATGGAGGGGACATGAACCCTATATACAGGGGACACAATGGAGAGGACCCTGTGTGCTAGGGAAGGACTGGTGACATGGACCCTGTGTGCTAGGGATACCTTGGAGGGGGCATGGACCCTGTGTGCTATGGAAGGGCTGGGGACACCATGGAGGGGACATGGACCCTGTGTGCTAGCCAGCGTGTTGGGGGGTGAATGGGGCTAGCTGGTCACTGGGTTTAAAAAAACGCACCTGACTGCAGATGGTGTAAACAACCCCTTAAATTCCCTTTCTCATGTATGCAACAGGAAGTTAGGGGCAATCTCCAAAATTGAGGCGAATTCTCCTCTTCAACAGTTATCCCCGGAACAGGAGGCCCCTTTAGAAGATGTACCTTGAACTCTTGTTCTGGGGACAACTTTTCACATTTGGATTTCTAATCATTTTCTTTCTTGGTGACAAATGGTCAGTTAATTAGAGTAGTTAGTCTTCCCAATGTGTACACAGGCTGCAAAAAGACAGGGTAATATGTAAGGTAATATGTGTGCACTACGGTGCATTACGGCGACTACAAAACCCTAACAAAAATAGCATATGTACCCAACCACATTTACTACAAAGGGCTCAATTCATCAAGCTGTAAAATATGTGATGCGATGTGATACTGCATGCTAAAGGAAACCAGGTGCTTTCTTTCTTGGTCACCATCTTCTGATGTAACAGTATCATTTACCCTTCGTCGTTTTACACCAAATATGTCATTGTGCACAGTAATGAAAACAGGTCACCTCTCCAGAGTTCCCTGAACCCCGAAGACCCTTTCTCCAACCAGGACTCCATTTTCAGCTAGAGGTGTAAAATTGTGGCTAAATTAAGAAAAGTTTTTTGTTTTTTTTTAAAGGTAGTGAAAAAGAGAAAGAAATCCTCCAATGCAATCAGCTCCATGTACATAAAGCACCGCCATATTTAATTTTTAAAGCTGAAATCCAGGAATTAGATAAAAACATCTTTAGGGCTGGTTTGGCGAAACCTCCCTCCCAGGCATGGTTGCAAGCTTGTCTCTTCCATGTACAATGTAGGGTTAATAGCCCTGAATTTGACATGATGATGCCGAGAGGCTGCCCAAAGCCTAGAGCATCAGGGAGAAGAGGAGAGCACTAGATGGTCTCGGCCCATTAGCTGCTGACTGGCTGCAACACACAGGCAGGGGGAGCTCAATCATCTCATTATTCCTGTCTGCAGCCTGGGACACTTCTGCCTCTCTCCATGAAGCTAAAGAATAGGGATGAGCTCAGGTTCAGACCAAACCTGGTCTGGACCTGAGCTCCTTCGAACAAGATGATCCATGGGCACTTGTGCCCAATCAGCTGTGGTAAGGACATTCCCTGTCCTGCAGCTGCATGTAAACAAAGGGGCGGGATGTTTGCGCTGATGTCATTTACTTTATATGGCCACACAGCCATATTAGGTAAATGTAATTTAATAAAGGCATGTGCCCATATAAGTTTAACAATGGCCTAGCATCCTGCAACTTTGCTTACATTAAAAAGGCAGGAAATTCCCCACCATCAGCTGACTGGGTGGGCTGGGAAGGAGCCTCCTCCTCTGTTCGGGAGGAGCTCCTTTCTGGGTTCAGAGGAGCTCAGGTTCCCACCAGGTTCGGTCTGTACCTGATCTCATGATTTCTCCTGAGAAGTGTGATCCCCCGCAGCTAAGGGGAAGAAAAACGCTCAAGCGGCAACTTGACAGCTAAGAAAAGGAAGCAAAAAAGATGCTATTAACATTTTAGGATAAATTGCTAAGATACAGATCACATGTTCAGTTAACATGCAATTCCATGTGAACATTTGTACAGCCCAAACTATATCCTAATCAGGACTTGGAGCTTGAGTTGCTCTGACAACCCCCTACCATTGACAGTGGATGAAAAAGGACTTTATAGGAGCAAAACAAGCATGTTTATTCCAGTATAACTGTAATATGGTGTTTTCCCAACATAATACAGTTAAGTAACAATTTTTTTTCAATGGAGACCTGATTTGTCTCAGGGCAATCTCCACATAGGGTATAGTGAGTCTTTCATGTGGAGAGTCTATAGCTCCAGTGCAAAAATTACATTTGAAATGTTTACCAGCAGCACATTGCCAGTGGCATGTG